GAATCTAAAGAACTTAATAAACTGATGAACAGAATAGATTCAATGACATGGAAGCATAGATGTGACTGACGAATGTCAGAGGGATGGAGGAGGGCAGGTAGGTGGAGGGGGAGAGAGTAACCAAAGAATTTATATGCATATATGCACAACCCAAGGACACGGACAATGATGGGGAGAGGGACTGGGGAGGGGGAAGGGATGGGGTGGAACGGGTCATTGGGGAGAAAAAGGGACATCTGTAATATTTTAAACAAAAATTAAAAAAAAAATTTTTAAAAAGGCTTGCTGAGGTTTTGGTAGGGTTTGCATGAAATCTGTAGATCAGTTTTGGGAGAAAATTGACACCTTAATATTGACTTGTCAAATTACAGAGTATATTTTTCTATTCTTTTAAAGTTTATCCTAACAGTATTTTTACAGTTTTTATTATATAGGTCTTGCATATGTTTTGTTGAATTCATTCCTAATATTTTATGTGAATGATATTTTTTTAAGTGTCAGTTTTTAATTGTTTATTGTTAGTGAAGGCAGTTTTTTTAAAGGGTTGCCACTGATTAAGCCTGACCATCTGTCCCTGTAGCACTGTCCTTGTTCTTCCTGTTCATAGAAGTAATGTATCAATGCTAGTGTTGATTATTTTCACTGCAGATCAATGCTTCCAGTGCCACCTGCAGTAGGCCCAACTTTCAGCTTCGAATTGGATGTGGAAGATGGAGAAGTAGAAAATTACGAGGTGAGTAGGTGAACTTTGAGTTAAGTTGGGGAGTATTGTGTGCATAAAATGTATTCTACTCAACTCATTCATCTAATTAAACAGTATTAGGTGAATCCATTGTACATCTCAAGATACAAATACGTTTAAAAAAAGTGTAGCACCCTTAAGGATATTTTGTCATGTACCACACAGCTCTGATAATGAGACAGACTTTTGGTGCTCTATTAGAATTACATACAACTCGTGTGGGAGAATGTAAATGAGAAAACAGTGAATTATGAATAGATGTTCTCAAAGATTTTGTGGAAGACAGAGATGTTTGAGCTGGTTCTTGAAGAATGGGAAAACTTTTTTGTGCATAAGGTTGAGGCAGGAAAGTGCTGGGTATTCTTGAGGAACTGCATACAGTCTGTGGCTAACGTGAGATTTGATTGGAAAGCTCAACTGGTTATCCTTGAGTGTCCTGCTAGAGAACACTAGGAGGAACATCACAAACACAATCTTAAAGCACCTTTGTTTTGTTTTCTAAATGCTTGTGGAAGAGATCAGGCCAAATACTATCCTTCTGTAATTTTCAAAATGCCATTATATCACTTGCTTTCTACATATATAATCACACTGCAATGTCCTTTGGCTTCGATTCCCAGATTTCTTGAGAGAGAAAGGTGCTATAATAATTTCCTGATTTTTGTTTCTAGAACACTGTGTTAGTTTTGTACAGAGCAGTAAGAAAAGGAGTTGGGCTCTAGCCAGTTTTGCTCAGTGGTTAGATCGTGGGCCTGTGGACCGAAGGATCCCAGGTTTGATTCCTGTCATGCATGTACCTTGGTTGCAGGGTCTATCCCTGGCCCGAGTCGGGGTGTGTACCAATCAGTGTATCTCTCTCATATCGGTGTTTCTCTCTCTCTCTTCCATTCTCTCTAAAAAAAGATCAATGGAAAAACATATCCTTGGGCGAGGATTAACAAAAAAAAAAAAGAGAAAAGAAAAGGAATTCATTATCTTTTAGGTATTCTGCACTAAAATTAAGTCTTATTTCATGCTCTAAAAGGACAGCTCTTTGGTAAATGGATTATATACATACCAATGGGAAAAACAGTGATACTATCCCAATGTAAGAAAAATATTTTGTATTTGGCATTGGAATCCCTTTCTAAACTGTATTTTGGATTTAATATGTTTGATCTTCTGCAAAGTCATACTTTAATCCAATCGAGAAAATCTTGCTTGCTTTTCTGGTTTTATCTCAGAGAGTATGCACACCTATAACACTCCCTAGTCCAGAGTGCTCACCATTTTTTGAGTCTACCCTATACATTGTTGCCTATGTGCTTTAACTCCCTTGATCTTTCTGCCTAATTACTTTTTCCCCTTCCTCTACATTTTGAAACATAGCCATCAAACTACATCTATGAAAGGCATTTCTAGTCCGTTATCAGATCTAAATGTCTCTCTCCATCCTTTTTGTTCTTATAATGCCATATAGAATAATCATGCCCCACCTTCAGTTGTCTTGCCTGCTGGGTCATGTAAATTGTTGAGGGCTTGATTATCATTACATTGTCCTTTCAGTAAGGGCTTAATGAACATATCTTATTGAATATAAGTGTCATATTTGTGTTAGTTGACCTAAGTGTCCTATAGTATGTACAGTAGAGGAATAATAGATAGAGATAAGCTATATCATAAATTTTATATGCTAATTGTAATCAGCACCAATTAAATTTAACAATTTACTATCCTAGCATTTAGAAGGACTTAGGGGCATTCATGTTTACAAAGGGGGAGCAATTTATTTTAGGTGACCCAGTTCTTCAAAAGAAGCTGTATGTACCAAAAGCAGTGTTGTGGCATCATCGTATTAAAACATAGCTATCACAGCATTAGTTACTGAGATTTTTTTTGAGAAATTGTTCTGCTCAATACCTGTCGTCTTTTTTTTGTTACCCGTTCTCTTAACTCTGTGGCAGCCTGTAAAGGGGGAAAGCAGCACATAAAGGGCTGTCTGATTTTAGAATAAAGCAAATGAATAATTAGAGCCATTGAAAACTGGGAGAAAGGAGGTACTTATATAAAATCAGTAAGCAAAATAGCTGCAATATATTGAAACATCAGCTATGCTAAAATTCATTAATTCATAGTGATACTTAAAAAAAAAAAAAAACCCAAAACCTCAGTGTTCTTATTCGTCCTGCACTATATATATGAGTTATACTACTGAATGTAGTTTGGTATGGGGTAATGCTCAGCATAGAAGTATTTCATCTAATAGATGAAGAAAGAATGATAGAATTAGAATATGACCATTTTGCCATCTTTAATAATTAATGAATCTAGGTAATCCTCCATCAGTGGCTGCTAACGTAACAACTAGGTATGATGAGCTATGATCAAAATACTCAAATCCACCAATTTATAGGAAATACAGGGGACAGGGAAACTCAAGTCAGGGTGGGGAGGTTCAGTCAAAATTCAGACTGGGCATTTCTACAGGCCATTGACTTGTTTTTGTCAATAAATACAAAATTTAAAAAACGATACTTGACATATCAAACAATGGGAATACATGGATTTATTTGGATCCTGATTTGAATATTCTTACAAGTATTTTGAAAGTAATTGAAACCGTCAGGCATTTGACAAAGAATTATAAGGTGTGGTGATGATGTGATTTTATTCTTTTAAAAAAAAAATTTTGTTTTTTAAAGTGGTGGTTTTCAACCTGGGGATAGTTTTATCCCCAAGAGGATATTTAGCAACATCCTGAGATATTTTTTAGTTATTACAATGCGGGGGGGGCTGTTACTGGCATTTAGCAGAGAACAGCCCCACATGATAAAATTTTATTCAGCCCAAAATGTCAAAAAGGTTGCAGTTGACAGACTGTTTTAAAGATACACAACAGAACTATTTTATTAATGAAATACCATGTTTTAGTTTTCTTTGAAAAATAATCTGGTGTTTAATAGGTGAAATAAAATTAGCCATGGATTGTTGAGCCTGAGTAATGGGCATATGGAATTTCATTATACTGTATCTCTTCTTTTGTATGTATTTAAAATTTTCCACAATAAAAACAGTTTTTAAAAAATTACTACAATAGAAAAATTTAAAGAAAATTAAAATATGTCTCCTTTTCCATCAATAGGCCCTTTTAAACCTGGCAGAGCGACTAGGAGAGGCTAAGCCACGAGGACTGACTAAAGCAGATATTGAACAACTTCCTTCTTATCGGTTCAATCCTAACAACCACCAGTCAGAACAGACTTTGTAAGTACATTTTTCTGACATCACTCTGTGTTAAATTTCCTTTTCTACCTTTATGAAATAAAAGCTTGAGAGTCACAGATAAAGATAAGTAACCTCTTTTTCATACTTTAGGCCTATGTTGTCTAGTTAGGTAGCAGCTAGTCACATGGGCTGTTGAAATAAAATTAAAAGTTAAATTTCTTAGTAGCACTAGCTAGTGATGCTGTATTGGAAGACGTAGAACATTTCTTTCACTTTAGAAAGTTCTATTGGAGAGCGCTGTTCTGGGTTTTTAGGTTTCCTGGAAATTTTTTGGTTTCTAATTCAAACGGCAATATTTTATATATGATTAAAAAGTCTCATACATGTAAGGTTTAAGGTTTTTACCTAAAGATTCTGCTTATTATAGTATCTTCTTTATAGCATAAACTATACTGAGATATAATTCACATTTATAGTGGTTCTATAGTACATTCAGAGTTTTGCAACCATCTTCACAAGCAAATTTATATCATTTTCATCACCCCAAGAAGAAACTCCTTACCCATTAGCAGCCACTCCCCATTTCTTTCCAAACCTCTTCACCCTGACACAAACCTGAATTAATTTTCTTTAATCTCTATAGATTTGCCTATTCTGGACATTTCACGTAAATGGGATCATATAATATATGGTCTTTTGAGTCTGGCTTCTTTCACTTAGCTTGTGTTCAAGGTTCATCATGTCATAACTTGTAACAGTACTTCATTCCTTTTTATGGCCAAACAATATTTGATTGTATGGATACACCAGATATTGTTTATCCTTTCCTCAGTTGTTAGATATTTGGGTGTCCACATTTTGGCTAGTATTAACAATACTGCTGTGAACATTTATGTACAGATTTCCCTTGCTCCAAACGTAGAGCGTTTCATAAGCCAAAAGGGCATAAAGTGAAGAAGCAATTATCATTAATTCATATGGAAAATATTTTGAGCATTCCCAGCTCCAGAAAAATAACCTACCAAATTATATCAAAAAACACATAAAACTTAAAGTAACGCTAACATACAGTAAAAGCAAGAATGATTATGATAAATACACAGCCTGTATAAAGTTGAAATAATGTATGTACAGTGTAGTTTAACTTATCAGAATTGGGAAGACTCAGAGCACACGAACTGGCTGAGAGGTGTTGCTAATGGTGTGTTGGGCTGAGTCATCGGAGGGGAGGTAGGAGATACAGGAAAGGAAGAGAATCATCTGTTAACATGTCGTCGTCTGACTTCATCATGGGAAGCAGGTCACCGACATCTACACCTTCTTGTCACCTGCCTCAATGTCGAGGTCAAGGTTTGTCATCTGCTATGGCTGATGTATGATTTTTCTATAATATAATTTGTAGGCACTCAAAATATCCTGCAAACCTGCCCTAAACCTAGGTGCTCATTCAAAGTCATACTTTTCTGTAATCATTGCAACACTGTCCATTGTATCGAAAATATCACACAAGTGCTTCATGTTCAGTTCTGGGTTACCTGACTTCAGGCTTTTCACTTTTGGTTTGGGTTTTATGTGTGACCTTTCCTCTTGCAATTGCATGAGCTCTTCAGAACCAATAGTAACTTCAGCAGCTTTCAAGATTCTTTCTCTTGCCCCGCCAAGCGTGGCTCAGTGGTTGAGCATCGACCTAAGATCCAGGAGATGGCGGTTCGATTCCTGGTCAGGGCACATGTCCGGGTTGTGGGGTTGGTCCCTGGTTGGGGGAGTGCAGGAGGCAGCCGATCAATGACGACTCCCTCATCATTGATGTTTCTATCTCTTTCCCTCTCCCTTCTGCTCTCTGAAATCAATAGAGATATATTTAAAAAAAGATTTTTTTCTCTTTGCGAGTAAATAGTATGAATGGTGGATTAAGGCAGGTTCAACAGACACAATGTTTTAATTTTGTTCACCCCAATGTAAATGCTTAGTTATGTCTAGTTTTACACTAAGCATCCTTATAAGCTCTCTTAAGTCTTTTCAGATACCTTAGGACACATCTTGCTAACAGATGTACAAAATAAATCGAGATAAAGCACACGTGCTCACAGACACATTTCAAAGTTGTGGCTTGATTCTGAGATGCTGAGTGTAGTTCTTTGGAAAGGAGCTTGGCAGTGCCACTCTTGCTGCTTGGGGTGCTTGCTGTAAAATAAATACTGAGTGCTAATTTTTAATATACTTTTTTTTGGTAAAAGCAGAAAATCCTCTTTAGATTTCTTTTGGTTAGCAAAAACAGGTACTAATATAAGTCTTTAATGAAAGTGAGTGGCATCGTGCTAACTTTCAAAAAATAGGGCAATACCTCTGTAGTTTTTCTGTGGATATGTATTGATTTCTTTTGGGTACCTAGGTGTATTGGGTCATATGATAACTCTGTTTTTGAGAACTTCTAGTTTTTCTAAAGTGGCTATACCATTTTACATTTCCACCAGCAATATACAAAGTTTTAATTTATTCACATCCTTACTGATGCTTATTATTGTCTGTCTTTTGATTCTAGCCATCCTAGTGGGGGTAAAGTGATATCTCATTGATGTTTTGATTTCCATTTCCCAGATGACTGGTGATTTTGAGCTCTTTTACTCTACTTTATTGGCTGTTTATATATTTCTTTGGAAAACTATTCACATCCTTTTTTCCATTTTTAAATTTTTTTAAAAAGTTTCTGAGTTGTAGGAGTTATTTATATATTATATATACAAGTCCCTTACTGATTTTCAAAAATAACTCCCATGCTGTGAGTTGTCATGTTGTTGTTTTTTTTACTCGATATATTTATTGATATTAGAGGGGGAGGGAGAGAGAGAAACATTGATGAGAGAGAAAAACACCTGTCTGTTGCCTCCCATACATACCTCAACTGGGCATTGAACTCACAAACTAGGTATGTGCCCTGACCAGGGATTGAACCTGCAACCTTTTAGCAAATGGGACAGTGCTCCAACTGAGCACCCTGCCAGGGCTTTTTTTTTTTTTTTTAATATGTCTTTATTGACTTTAGAGAGAGGAAGGGAGAGGGAGAGAGAGGTAGAAACATCAATGATGAGAGTCATTGATAGGCTGCCTCCTGCACGCCCTCTACTGGGAATCAAACCGTGACCTCCTAGTTCATAGGTCGGAGCTCAACCACTGAGCCTCGTCAGCCAGGCTGTTTTTATTTTCTTGATGTCTTTTGAAGCACAACTTTTTTAAAATGTTGATGATGTTCCATTTACCTATTTTTGTTTCTTGTGCTTTTGGTATCATCATAAAAGAAACCATTGCCTGCTTTGAAGTCACGAAGATTGACTCCTGTGTTTTCTCCTAAGAGTTTAATAATTTTTAGCTTTTACATTTAGGCCTTTGCTCCAGTTAACTTTTGTGTTAATTTTTGTATATCATGTGAGGTAGGGGCCCAACTTCAGTTTTGTTGCATATCGCTATCCAGTCATTCTAGCACCCCTTTGTTGACAAATACAGTACCTCCAGTATTAGGACTGGCTTGGGCCCTGGCCAGTTTGCTCAGTGGTTAAAGTGTTGGCCCACAAACCAAAGGGTCACGAGTTTGATTCCTAGTCAAGGGCATGTGCCTGGGTTGCGGGCTCGATCCCCAATAGAGGTGGCGTGCAGGAGGAAGCTGTTCAATGACTTTCATCATTGATGTTTCTCTCTCTCTCTCTCTCTCTCTCCCTCTCCCTTCCTCTCTCTCAAATCAATAAAAACTTTTTTTTAAAAAAATGTTTAAAAAAAATTCTTGGGTGAGTATTCAAAAAAAAGAACCTGGCGTGGATATTAAACCAGAGATTTTCTTGATGATCTCTCAGTAAAGAAAAGCACTTTTACTAAATGTCTTAATAATCATGATTTTTAAAATTTTGTCTTAAAATTTAAATGACATTTTGATAAGTGAAATGGTAAGTGGGTTTTTTCAGGCTTCAGTAGTCATAACAAAATAGAAAATTACTTGGTTTTATGGTTAAATGACTTGTTTGCTTTTTTTAGGTGTGTAGTATGCATGTGTGATTTTGAGTCAAGGCAGCTACTTAGAGTTTTACCCTGTAACCACGAGTTCCATGCCAAGTGTGTCGACAAATGGCTGAAGGTAAAGTGGATGGCATCTGAGAAGAGAATAAAATTGAACTTTCTTTTTATTGAGCATAGTTTCATGTAGAGTAAGTCCATCGTTGGTGGAGGGTGGGTAAGGAGGTAAAATTCAAGCACTGCTTTCAGTATGATTTCTGATCATGAAGAGAAATATCAGCAAAAATGAACTACAGTCATCATCATGGGCATGATTTTGTAAAACCTGAAAATTGGTTATCTGTCCTTGATAATCAGTATGTCCTAACTTTCTCGTGGTATATATTGGCAAGACCTCAACACCTTAGGCCAGTTTCCTCTAAGAGTTTAGAAGGGGACCTCACTGGAGCTCCTTTGTCAGACATTTACATGGGGACAAACCTCTAGTGCTTTTAATTCTGACCTTTGTAGATGTGAAAAAATTTTAAAAGTCCAAAGGACACAAATTAGTCAACTTTATGTTGTATGGGATTTTTTTCAGGAGATAATGCTGGGTTAGATAACTTCACAGTTTGGTGAAAAAGACAGATGAGCACAGATTAAGGGTACCCAGTTTAGCCCCAAACTGCATCCTGAAGATGAAGAATCTGAACTTTTTAGAAAAAGAAAGCATTAAATACACACAGCCCTGACATGTGAGAACAGAGAATAATTAGAAAACCACAGGTTCCATGTAGTTCATAGCTAGAGTATGCGAGGGAGAGAGTGGCAAGAGGCAGATGTTCAGAGATGTAACTAGTGACCAGCTTATTGTGAAGTCACTGAAATGTGAGGGAGTTTGAACTTGATTTTGAAAGTGATGTGGGAAGGATATGATTGAGATCGTGTTTTAGATCACTGGTCACTGTTTAGAGAATGAACTACAAGAAATTAATTTCTGAGACAGGCAGATGGAAAAAGGATATTCTGAGCCATATGGAGAATGAATAGTGGCAATTAAATGAAAAGGAAAGGGCTGATTTGAGAGCTATCTTAATAATGAGTATTTGATGAATAATGGGTTGTAGAAAGTAAGAGAGCATGTGATACCTACTATGTTGCTGGCTTTAGCAACTCAGCAAATGGTGGTGCCATTTGTTGAGATGGAGTTTTTTAAGCCAGTTGATTAAATTTGTCTGAACTGGTGATGGATAATGTTGTCTATATGGTGAAAGTGACCCTTTAAAAAAATAAAAAAATAAATCAATAATAAGCTGTTAAGTTTTTGTGGTTTAATGGGGTATTTTTAAAAAAGACAGATTAAATGTTTGCTTTATACCCTCTTAAAAGAACAAAGGATGTAAAAACCACATGGGTAGTAAAAAGAGTTTCATTGCTTTTAATATGTTTCATTGTGTAAGTCACAATTCAGACAAGTTTTCTCTTTTGTGTTTTAGGCAAATCGTACTTGCCCAATTTGCCGAGCTGATGCCTCAGAAGTGCATCGGGATTCCGAATGACCAACCTAAGAGCACAAATTTAGTTTGGGTGTTCCTCTTCACATGTATATACGGACTATCCATTGAACTTAATCTGTGTGGCTTCCAGCCCTCCCTTTACCAAAAGGGTCAATGGACCTTTCTTTGCACTGTGTGACTTAATCAACTATAAAAGCTTACAATTAGTCTTCATAATTATGGGATTGTTATACTAACCGTGTGATTGGAACTCCAAAGACTTTTTCTTTAGCTTAATTTCGTGTGTGCACTAACATTCCCTGGTTTTTGTGTGATCATTCCGAGTGTTGCTGCAAGATTACAGTGGACGTGATCTTTTAGCATGTGCTTTTATAAAAAGTGGTAGCTCCAGATGATATAGCAATCTACCTTATATAGAGCCTTCAGAAACTGTGAGTGGAAATGAATGCAACGTATGACTGTTGGTGATAAATGTATCTCTGTGTGTGAGAGAGAGAGAGAGTGTAACTACTTGTGTGAGGGCATGGTAGCTAATGTGTGTGTGAGATCCTATATACCAGCATGTACCAAGAATGTGTGTGTAGTTTTAATTATGCTGCAATGTATAATCTGGTGTGTTATTTAAACAGCACTAGTACTGTACACTGGTTTTTCCCTTGTGTTTGCTGTTGCACACTGATTGCTAAGGGTGCATCAATGACAAGGATTGAATACTCCATCCCTTTCCCTCCCAGTGAATGGAATGAGAAAGCCTTCTTCCTTTGCTTCAGGCAGCTGTCACCTTCTCTTCGTTGGTGGTCCAAGTGGGTCACTTAAGAAAAAAAGTGTAACAGATTCTCACTCCATGAACCTGATTTTTTTATTCTGTTGTGAAAACTTTTTAAATCTCCCAACTTGCTGTTTCCAAAAAGAAGGTGCAATATCATACATCATCAGTTAGCAATATTAGCATTTCAATCAGTGATTTGAATGTTGATACTTTCTTGTTTTTTCTTTTACATTTCCAGTAAGCTTCTTACAGGAAGTACTTGTGATTTTTTTTTTTTTATGTTTAGATTTGTAGTCTATTCTGAAGATATTTGAGTAATATATTTCTAAGAATACCACTGGTCCCATGAAGTCTCACTTTCTAGACTTCCAACAGAAAAAAATCTGTTAGCTAACTCAGCTTGATTTCTGGTATGTGTTCTTTGTTCAAGCTTCCATAGGCAACTAAGTTGTTTTAAGAAAACCGTATTTGTTTGTGTTAATTCACCTGCCACGCTCCAATTCTGAAAGCTGTCTAGTTGTTATTCTCTCAGTAAATGTGCTTCTCATCAAAACCCTCGTTTCCAGGATGGATCAAGTGCTGTGACAGCTCTAGTTCCTTAGACCTGATGTGCTTTGATGTTTTATTGCTTTTCTTTTTATTTTGTTTGAATGAGAAAAATTTAATATAACAGGTGTCCAGAATACTTGCAGTATAAATGAAAATTTGATTTTTGTATAAAAAATAATGCTGTAAAACAGGAATTGACCTTCATTTAGTTGATCTGAAATATTTCACTATATAGCTGTGTGAGTTTTTTTAATAGATTCATTGAACATAATGCAGATTGTTTAAATTCAGTTTTTCAGCAGTGTTTAGATTCCTCTCTCATTCTTTGTGTGCTCAACATTGTCTGCCTCTTCCCTGCAATTGATGTCATTGCTTTGCAGTAGCACAAGCTGTGTAGTTCCAGTCAGGACTGTGATGATTTGCTGCCAGCCTCAATTCAGCTTTCAGTTGGCTCTGTGTCGGTTTTCTACTCAGACAGTGTTAACTACTTATTACTGCCATGCTACTTGCCTTCCCTTGAAGTCTCTATAAGCTCATCACAGCTTAGAGTTCAGTAAAGTCAATTTACACAGAAGCACAATTTTGCCCTTTTCCAGACACTGTTGCCTCTATCTAGTCATACAAATAGAATTTTGCATACTTTCTGTTTGCCCCTGTTATTTGTCAGTGCATCATAAATACATCTAAACAGTGGTAAAATGCACACATTACTTTTAAATCATTAGGATATCCCCCACCTACTCCTGATGAATAAAAAGTTTGTTAAAGACCAAAATTATTGGCATAATAATCAGCTACGTTACAAATCACGTATAGTTTAATCTTTATTTTTTTTAATTAAAAAATCATGTTTAAAATGGCAAAAGCCCATCTTATACATAAACTTTTATATAGCTGCAAAAAATTTTTATCTGTACAGATCTAACATAACACTACTACACTCAGTATTCATTTTATTGAAGCATGCAAGAAAAGCACTTTTTCTAATTTATATAGATACCTAATTAACAAGGCACATTGTACTAATGACTAGGAAAAGTAGCTCTTTCTTCCTTCCCTCTGACGATGAATTTTTGTCATAATATTTCTTTTCCAGTAAATTTTTGAGAGGCAGTTGGCAGTTTAGGAGGCAGCAGGGTCTATTGGTAAAATTCTGAATTGTTGCACTCTTGTAACTGATCTCTCTTTGGGAATGTATTTTCTTTGCATGGGGCTCTTAGAGATGTGTGCAGACTTGCTTATTAAGTGGTTAGTACATATTAGGAGTATACATGCATGTGTTCTGAACCAGCTCAGACTAGCCACAGTGAGCAGCTTTGTGGCTAGCAAAAGAGAAAGAGCATTTGATTTGTGCCCAGCTATTGTCACCTTGGGTGATGCACCGGATAACAGGCAGATGCTGGTTTGTTGCCTTCTTCCTCTTTCCTCCTAAAACAATATTGGCTTTACCATCTTAACTCTGCTGTGGGGTTTGGTTTTTTGTTTTTATTTTTTGTTTTTATGCATGAATTATCATCTTTGATTTTTTTTTTTTTTTTTTTTTTTTTTTTTTTTTTTTTTTTTTTTTGGTGCCTGCCGTCCCCACCCCACCCACCAAAACAGAACAAAACAAAAAATAAGTCAAGGCCTCCAGGTATCGAGATCTCATTAGGATTTTCTGTCCTGGTTTCTTCTTCTTTTTTTAGTAAAATATAAAAAATGTGGAAGCATATTTAGATTTTATACACTCTCTCGAATGTGATTTGTTAAGATTCTTAAATTTGGGCCTCTTAAGTATTTTGAATGAGATCAATAACTTACTTATGTGAGTATTTTTCATAGATATCTTTAGGCCTTCATTAGGAACCTACTTCCCCCCTGTTGGTACATTGGGTTACCTCATTTTGCTGTTTGTTTCAGATTATGAAAGCTTACAGGGGTGTTTTTTGGAATCATTTGCTGAGTCATTTCCTCAAATCATATTCCATTGTATCAGTTAACATAGTTAAATGTATGTATTATAAATATCTGTAACCAAATCATTTGAAGGCTTGATAAATTTTTAACAAAGTTTGTACATTTTTTATGAAAGTTACTAGTAATGCTTTACTAAGTAGTGCAATGAATTTTTATTTTTAATCCCTGTGCCCAATTTTGGAGTTGAGAGGGTTGTTGGTAATAAATGTATGATGTACACTTAAGACATTTTGTTGTGTTTATGTTGCTGTGTTAGGGAAGGGTAGGGGTTGTGTGTGCTTGGAGGGGTGTGTTGGGGATTCCAGCAGAAAGATAGAGCTGTTGAACTGTTAGCAGCTAGATTCAATTTTTAGAGTATAGTTCAGATTTTGTTTCTGCATTTGTGTAAACATCTTAGAAACACAAAGCAACTAACATTATAACATGTGGTATATGATTATGTAAAAAGGCCAGAAAGATAACCAAGTTAGCCACATATGTGGCATAAGCTTATTGAATAGTAGAGAAACATAGTAGGTAACAATTTCTTTTTGTACATGTTAACCATAAGATGCAGGAAATAAGATTATAATAGATAATTGAGGATATTTGACCATATTGGTGACAGCTTACGTCCATCTTATTGTCAACATAATAAAGGAAAGAGGAGCTTCTGCTTGTCATTTTCTATACATGTTTGTGTAATTCCTTTGACTAAAAAGGAAGAAAGTAAAAGCAATCTACTTATATATGCTGTTACTTAAGAAGGAAAGTAGAAACAATATACAAAAATAATTGAAGCTAAATAATAGGTTCCAATTCTCTTCTGTCTTTCAGGAAACAGTCACTCTTTGCCTTAATGGAAGGTAATGCCCTCGGACTGGTCCCAGTACTCAACTGACAGAAGCATTCAGAAAAGTGACCAGGTCCTGACTGTTTCCCTCATTTTTCCAGCATATTTGAAAGAGTGTTTGTGTTGGACCTTGAATGTCTTAAGAAACCCAAAATTCGTGCTGTCTTACGGCAGCGGCGATTACTGCTCAGTAAATACCCATGCACTCTGCCCCATCTCCCTACCCACAGTAAGGCAGGGAGGCCCATTCAGCTGGCTCTGACAAAAGGCCTGTAAGCATAGGCCAAGTGGGAGAGACACATTGACTGGTCGTCTCCCACGTGTGCCCCAACTGGGGGCGGGGAGTGAACCTGTCACCCAGGTACCTGCCCTTGACCAGGAATTGAACCCCCACCCTTTGGTGCACAGGCCTGCACTCTAACCACTGAGCACACCGGCCAGGGCGAACATTATTCTTGATACCCCTAGACTTAATTTTGCAGTTGCATGCCTTAATAAACTACAGGATGAGGAGAAATATTTTACTCTGTATAGTTGAGTACAACTTGCTGCTATATTCAATACGTAAAGAATAAATACATAAAAAGCAGACTTAGTTGCTATGAGCATCATACAGCTAGCTGCCCTTGTTTGTTAGAATATCCCTAATCTGACGTTTGCTTAGCACCCTCAGGGTTCACAGCTACTTAAATTATTGTAACTTGCCAGTCAGAAACCTGGACATTCTGAAGAACTGAGTCAAACTCTAAACCCTCACTCCTATCGAGTTGCTCTACAGTGCACATGCTCTTAACCTGTTCATGTGGCTCTGCCTCCCAAACTGGCAGGCAGGAAACACAAGAACAAGAATGAATTTTAAAAAGTCAACAGTGACACCCAGGGATACTGAGTGTCACCATACAGTCTGAAAATGTGCTGCAGAATTAGCCTGGGTGTTTCCGGCTATAGAGGAAGTGAGTTGTTCGGGAAGGAAAGAACCCACATTCCCTTTAAACCTCTGGTCCTTGGTGTACACATGGAAATAGTATAGCGGCTGGTTAATAAAAGGACCTGTAATATTGACCAACTTTCTTGGTAGTTAAAATCTGATAAAGAAGAGTTCTCCAAATATGCCAGGATACATTTCTGACTGCAAACTTAACCCTCTTTAAATATGTCTGTTGATTTCAGAGAGAGGAAGGGGGAGAGAGAAACATCAATGATGAGAGAGTCATTGATCAACTGCCTCCTGCATGCCCCCTACTGGGGATCGATCCTGAAACTTGGGCGTGTGCCCTGATGGGGAATTGAACCACGATCTCCTGGTTCATGGGTTGACGCTCAACCACTGAGCCATGCTGGCTGGGCCAAAGTTAATCCTCTTAATAACATTTCTGTAGTCTGTGCAAGCAATATGGTATCCACATGTCGTATTTTGGTATTTTTTCTCTCCCGCTTTTGGACATGTTAATACTGGACTTTAGATAAATCAAAGGAAAATAACCTTGACTTATCGAAATAAGGCCAGCCTTGCTGAGAAAAAATGCATTACTATCTTTGGCAATTCAAATTCAGGCTCAGAAGGGCCCAGTTTTTATGTCAGTAAGAAGGAAAATTTATTATTGTAATCCCAGAATACCTAAAAGAAACTTGGACCATCTATCTAATCCAAGCTACCAGATTTTAGTTGGGCAAACAAGTCAGAAAGGAAAAAGTGAGTTCAAAGTCAATTTCTGTTCCCCACAAAATGAGATTTGAGCTTTTATTGAGCACCAGCTTGTGCCAGGCAGCTTCAGATTCAGGAGTTTGGATATTTAGTGTGTTAACTTCCCAGGGCCCCCACAACACTACCACAACTTTAGGGGCTTAGAACACATTTATTCTCATAATTTCTGGATGCCAGAAGTCCAAAATCAAGGAGCTGGTTTTCTCTGGAGGCTCTGAGGATCTGTTCCATGTCTTTCTCCTTAAGGTTCATTAGCTTGTAGACACAAAACTCCAATCTCTTCCTCTGTCTCTATGTGTCATCTCCTGAATGGAACTGAGTGACCTACGTAGAGGTCAGCTGTAGGGTTACCTTAGGAAAAGCCAGATTTGTCCTACCTCAGCAAATCATTTTAATCTATTCCAACAAATATGCATTACTATCTTTGGCAATTCAAATTCAGGCTCAAAACTCCAGCATTTCTTATCATAAAGCATGACCAAAATAATTTTGACCTTAAAAATGTTAAAGGGACTCATTCCTTTATCTTCAGCTCATTCTTGCAACCAAGAATAAACCGCAAATTGTGTTACCGCAAATTGACTCAGAGTAGCACAGCTTCCGAGTATACTTTTGAAAATAACTATGGAAGTTAACTAGGAAATGTACTGTCAGGTAAGGAAGCAATTAGCAATGTTTTTTGTTTTTTTTAATTTTATTTTTGTTTAAAATATCACAGGTGTCCCTTTTTCTCCCCAATGACCTGTTCCACCCCGTCCCGTCCCCCTCCCCCCCAGCA